CCCCTGAGGTAAATTTTCTTTTTTTTTTGTTCAATTCTATGTGTTTTAGTTGGTCATTTAAGAATGAGAAAAATAATATTTGTACTGTTTTTCTAAAAAAAAACTTCAATGTAGCACCAATGTAGCCCTGTTGGTGGCAGCAGTGGCCCTCAGCTCATTTGAGTTTGAGACCCCTGCTGTAAAAAGACAAGAGAATGGATTTAAGGATTAGAGTCTGGCCAACATCAGCTGTTCTACAATAACAACAATGCCACTGCGTGTTTTTCAACATCTACTCCATTTAATCTGCATGAATTACTTTTTGTTTTAGCTCTTAATTTTCACAGACCACATTTTGATGGTTATGGCTCATCAACATTACATTTTTTTGCGAGTAGGAAATGTGTAACATGCAAGCAGTGAGTGGCATTTGCTTTAACAGTATAACATTTTTAAGTCTCTCTTTTTTATTATTATTATTATTATTTTAGGTTAGGGTTTTTTTGTGCCAAGTGTTTTGTTTAAGCTACACTGGAGATAAAGTTGTTACATCAATAAAATACAACCATATTCATTGAAAACAAAAACAAAAAATCTTTTGAGTTTGCTCTTCCCTGTGCTTGAACCTCAACTTATAAATGGTTTATATAGGGCTATGACATCCACTTATATTGTAATAAGACACATTAAAGAATAAGATTATTCCCATTTCTGAAGAACTCTAGTTTGGGACTAATTAACTCTGATAAAACACCGACAGTGCTACAGGCCTGGGGAGAACTGTCCTTAATGCTCCTCTTGTCACAGTAATTAAATAAAACACAACGCCATCTACCTTTCCAACTAATTTAATTTGCTTTCATTGTAGTTATGGTATCAACAACATCTACTGTTTCAATCACTCCCTGAAATGTTATGCATAGACCAGTCAGACTGTCTGATGATATGAAAAAAAAATGACATTCACAGAATGAGTCAGCGTTCAGCTCAGTGACCACACAGTGATTTGTCACACTTTTTATATTGGTTGCCCTTCCTGTCAGGCCAAAATGCTATGATTGTAACACCTGCACAACTTCTTTGACATCAGACTTGGGTCCCCAGTTGGTCACACTGCTGAGTGACAGATGTATGAGATTCAACGATTTGCAATTTTTTAATCCTAGTTTTGTCATCACTGTTCTCACTGAACATGAACATATTCTTTTCAGATTTTCATTAGAATGAGCAGAACCCAACAACTGACAATTGATTTTTCGCCTGTATTGTAGTTTCTATATGTGGCCTATTTAATGGACTGGCCAGCTGTCTATGTCCTAGAGTCTAGGCCAGGTGATCCCAAAATGTGCCGGGGGCCGGGTCAGAAGTAGCTTGATGGATCTTTTTGTGAACAAATATAAATTATATGTAAAAGTTTTTCTACACCACCTATTGAGAAAATGCAGGCATTGCAGGGAAAAGGCAAAAATATAATGTTAAAAATTAATCATTTCATTATGACAAGTTTGGCGGGCCAGATTAATAGGCTGAAGGGGCCACATCCGGCCCTCGGGCCGTAGTTTGCTCATGCCTGATCTGGGCCATATACACTGCCCAATGACTGGAGTGGGCTACAGCTGCCATTCTAGTAGAGATCCTGAAGCCTAATGTGCGACAGTGGAAACGATGACAGTCTCTGCTTTGGTTTTACTGCTTAAAAACAGAAGTCAATGTGGATGAATCAGTTAGATGAGTCATTTTACATAATGTTAACTGTTACATCGTTTAAAAATGCATCATAAAGGAGGGAGTCAGAGAAAGTTATTTTAAGAACGTGTACATCATGGAATCACATTTAAATGAAGAGAAAGTGAGGAAAAGAGAGAGAGAGAGAGGGAGAATAGCTTTGAGTAGAGAACAAGAACCTGAAACACGTGAACTGAAAACGCCTGGACGTGAGGAGGAGGAGAGGGAGGTGGAGGCGGAGGAGAAGTGATAAACTATTCACAGGGTACGTATGACGTCTTACCATTGTCTCTGTGTGTGTGTGTTCCTGCTACTCATCTGCTGCTGTGATGATGCTGTGCAATGTAGATAAGAAGGGTGAGTGTGTATGAGGGGAGAATAATGCTGTATGAGGAGCAAACAATGACCCGAACTACCACAGACCAAGGCCTGGTCTAAAGACCTTTAATCTGGGTAATTGTTTTGTTTTATTATTATTATTATTATTATTATTATTATTATTATTATTGTTATTATGCTTGTTTTGTTCCCTGACTATGTCCCTGACTATGTTTTTTCCCCTTAATTTGATCAGGTGACATTAAGACAGAGTTGTTTTTCATATTTGTTTCAATGACACCGGTAACTCCGCACGTTACCGCGGCACCTGCAACCCTCCATACAACGTCTCTGGCGCGTCCTCTCCCTGCTTTCGTGTGGTACGAATTGCGCCTCCTACATGTGAGTGGGCTGCAAGTGAAATGAGCCCTCCGTCATCCTGCTCACTGAACGCACCGGAGGCTACTGCGGTAAGATGCGACGGTACACGATGCCTGAGCCGAAGCACAGGAGATGATGCGCAGTCACCGAACACGCGCAGGGCGAGATGGAACTAAGAGCCACGTCTTTGTTCAGCTCTGACTGGGGCCGTGGGCCGGAGGATTTGGCTGATTAGTTTTTCTGTTTTGCTGGAGGCCGACTGTAAGACGACGACGATGATGATGGTGATGATGATGTTCGGAAGGATGCTCCAGCTCTAGGGAGACTGTAAAAAAGGCTTCGTCTGTAAACAACGAGGAAGCGGAGCGACGTCAAGTGAAGGACATTATAACCTGACACACTGACGCATTGGCTGAGGTAAGAAACAGTGACCGGCTCTGCTGCTTTGCTGCTTTTATATGAGTTTATATGACCTTTACCTATGACACTGAATGGTACAATAGTGCAAACAATACGGAAACACTTCCACCGAATCCCGTACGAATGTAAAGGCGGGGGGACGTGGTGGTGGTTAATGGCCTCATTTTATTTTTTTTAAATAATTCAAATTTTTGACTATTAGTTTAAATGCGACAAGAAACCTTCTAAGGGCTACTGGAGGTGGGTGAACGCATCTCTTTAATTCATGTTTTTGTAGTTAGAAAACCACAAGAAGCCTCATGGAACCAGCTGTGTAGACTAAGACTCGCCTCATCCCACACTGTAGCTGTAATCTATCAAGGCAAAACCACGGATATTGACGTGAATTCAATGAAAGTATGAAACATTATTGGCTAAATGTATTCTACAACCCCCCAGCAGGGGACACTACAGTATGAATGACCCTGGTCCATGACTTCATTTTACATAAACCCTAATAATTTACTCAGCATTTCCTGCAAGAACATTCCTCACACCTCATATTGGAGGCGTGTTGTGACCTCCACATGAAAGAGCGTGGCTCAAGCACTGGTTCCGTGCATGCTAACAACATGGCTGGCCATCTGACTGGAGCAGGGCCCTCTGGCATTGTGGGCTGTACGCGTCCAAGAAGGACGTATCAAAAATCAAAAGTATGGCCTAGTTTTAAAAACGTGAACCACCATTTAGAAAGTATTACATCATCAGAGTATTTTGAAAATTGTGTTTCAGGTTTTGCCAATGATGGCCTTACAGTTCCATCCAAGTAAAAGCAGATAATAATTTATTTATTTATCCTTTAACCAGTGAATACCTTAGAGGCTTAATTACATTTACATTTATGACACTTTTATTCAAAATAGACCTACACGAAGAGAATTAAAAATGGAGCTACATAGAGGAACTCTTGAAAAGAGATATTTAGTAAAGTGGGACTTCTTAACTACGGTGGAGAAGCAGAAGGGAGGTACAGCACAATATCGGCCGACCGATATTATTGGCCCGATATTAGCATTTTTAATTATTTAATATCTGTAAGAATCGTTATCGTTTTTTCCTCCGATAATGAAAACCTGATAACGCAGTGCCTGTGTTTCATCAAATGATGTGTGCCCTAATAATAGTTTGGAGGATAAACGACTGTATATTAAAGTGAACGTCACTAGATGGCAGTATTGCAGCTCATTTAATTAATCTATCTCAATAATCAGGGAATTGTATGCAGAATGATGGCGCCAGCAACTCAATTACGACACCCATGTTTCTAGCTAATTATGAGTGATTTATCATTATTTTAAATGTGTGTTTTGTTACATCTGAATAACCTCCAGGACACTCAGTGTGCTGTCGTGTTTCTGTGAGAGCGCAGTGCATTGATTTCCTGTTTTGTTCCTCTCCCCTGCAGGTTATGATGTGACAGCAGAGTTAGTCAACAGTGACCAGACACCCACTAAATGAGAGGGTGTTGAAGTTCTAAGGACGTCACCACAAACATCAGACTTAGAGGAAACAGACTCTTTTTTTTTTAACCGTGTTTATCGCCATTGCTAACGCCTGAATTCTTCATAAGGAGCAATAAAGCACAGCGTTAGCTTGCTGACAACAGACAGCGAGTTTGTTTATGTCACGATGAACCACATTCTGCGCTAACAGAAAATGATTTTAATTACGCCTAGTGCATGTCCTCTAAATGACGATATGGTTCGTTTCACATCGGCACGCTCCGGAATAAAATCAGATTCCTGATAGTGACAGTTATTCCTCTTGTGGACAGGATTTGAACTTGTCCTGACGGTCTTGTTGTTCAGCTGTAAGCACGGACAGACTGATCAAACATAGATGAGGCCTACTGCAGAAGTCATGATTCAGCAGAATAACAACAACAACTACCCCTGTCTGAATGTGACAGGCTCCACCCAGGAGTGGCTTCAGAAGTGCTCCAGAGCCTCTCTGCCCTTCCCCAGCAGACTGGAGCTAGGCCTGGGAGACCTGCCACTCATACGGGGCCTCAGAGCTTGGGCTCTATTCTCCAAAAACCGCTGCAAGGCCAGTGGTCTCGTTGGAAGACCAGCCCCAGCAGCTCTTCCTGCAGGCCACGGCAGTTCAATGTCCTGCCCCAGGCCTGCCGATGTGTACCTGAGTGAGCAATGGAGTCGCATGGGATACGGGCTGCCCCTGGGGCTGGATGCCAGGCAGGCTGGGATTGGAGCTTTAGTAACAGTTGCAACTTTGAAAACTTCAGAGGGAAGTGGGAAGACACAGACTCAGTGTCTCTTCCTTCGTACCGAGAAGGGCAGCTGTCTGTACTCAACGGCCAAGCCTAAACCAGGGCTGAGCACCGGCGGAGCCTCCAGGGGAGTAGGGGGATGGCTGCGGGGGAAGACGGGGGACAGGAGCAGAGACAGCGGTGCAGGAAGGAGGGACAGTCTGACAGCAGCACAGTCTGGAGCAAACCGGGCACGGGTGCGATCAGGCAGGAGATGGAGGAAGTCGGACAACGCAGCAGGCCGTGAGAACGCAGGCTTGAGTAAAGACAGGCAACAAAGTAGCAGGAAGGGTCCTGCAGAAGAAAGACAGGAAGAGGAGGACAAAGGAGCGGACAGCTTGCAGCAGGAGAGAGTATGCAAAAGTCCCAGGTGCTGCGACAGTGTTTGCCCTCAAAGCTGCAGACAGTGTGGAGAGAATGCACAATTAGGTGAGGGTGAAGGCAGAGGAGAAAGTGTTCCACGTGGACTAAACTGTCCTGGTGCACGTCAAACAGAGCAGAGGAAAACTGAGGAAGAGAAAGGAGACCCATGTGAGTACCAGGGTTCTAATTCTGTTTTGACTGAATCAAGATCTGACCTGGAATTGAACTGTCTTCACCCACGGTCCCTGAGCGGCTCCAGCGCTGAAGAGACTGAAATTGTCAACACCCTCAAGGAGACACAGAGCCCTCACACTGTGGACGACAGTCCAGGCAGAGATAAGGACAGACACTGCGAGGTCATGGAAGTACATTCCATAAAGAATGAATGCATTAATGTCCACTGTGGACCACATGGTGACGATTCCACATCCAAATGTAAAGAGGACATTAATGAAAGAACTGAAACTGAACATTTTGACAAGGAAATCCTGTCAAATACTGAGGAGTTTTCTGATGGAGAAGCAGAGAATCTAATGGAGAGAGTGAAAGCTGAGGAGGAGGAAGAGCAGAGCAGCTGGGAGATACTTTCTAATCCCTCAGATGTGTCGAAATGCCACGAGAACCTCAACACTGCTGTGTGTCCTGAGCCTCCTTCTCCTGCAGGGGGCAGCATTCACCCTCCTGACCATGAGGCCTGTTGGACGAAGACAGAATTAGAAAACAGCTCAGAGGAGCAACCTAAGATGGTAGATTCTGGAACCATGGGTGGTTTCAGATTTGATCCCGTGGAACCGAAGTACACGGTCACAGAGAGCAGCTCTCAGCTCGTCTTCAGCAACGAGGACAGAGACAGACAGGAGGAAGAGGAGAGAGTGGAGTCACCTTCATCCTACAGACACAGAGACAGCTCCACCAGTCGGACGGTGACTATAAAAAGTTGTTGCACAGTTGAGTCTCAGTGGAGAGACGGTGATAAAAATAAAGACCAGACACAAATTGCTGAGGACGAGAAATCCAGTGACGGAGAGAAAAGTCCAGGACACGTCAAAAAAACTGGCCGTGTTGAATCGGAGGACAATTTGAATGAATCAGTGATAAACCGTTCACCTAATGAGAACTCAGAGCCACAAACAGGAAGTGATGTCGGTGGTTTCTACCCCTCAAACATCAACCATGTAGGAGAAAAAATAGAGAGCACTTCTGACCCCTCCACCACCACCTGTGCTGGAACCTCCACCTCCCATTCACCCTCCCAGGCTAAGCCCGACCCCTCTCTGCCTTCCTTGGGATTATTGGCATCCGGCATTCCCTGTCTGAAGCAGGAGGAGGAGGACAACGAGGAAGAAGGACAAGGAATGCTGGTAGATTTTGACAGTCAGGAAAGAAAGAGAACATCCAGGAGAGAACTGGAGAACCAGGGAACCAGGGCGAGACCGGACGATGTGGTCACTACATCCAGGAGTGAAGAGGAGGCAGCAGAGGAGGAGGAAGATGAGTTTGGAGTGTTCATGCAGGCTGACGGAGAGCCGGTGTGGAGCAGTGGGGAGTCTGTGTCTGCTTCAGTGCCTTGTGGGAGCAGAGGCGGAGCTGGTGAGTTGGTGGTTGTTTTTTAAATGGTTTTTTTTAAATATATAGTAAAAGTTACCTTTGTTTCATCCTTTCCTTCTCCTCATAAGTTCAGTTTAAAATATATAGTAGAAGTTACCTTTGTTTCATTCTTTCCTTCTCCTCATAAGTTCAGTTTAAAGCTAAACTGTTTCCGAGGAGGCGCCAGGAACAGATATCACAGATCGTGAAAAAAAAGTGTGGTATTTCCAGTGTTGTGCTGTGAGGTCATCACCACACTCAGGGTATTAGAGCATTTTAACCTTCTGTTCTGTGCCAGGAATGTGTGTACACAGCGTTGGATTTAAAGGGCCATGCCACTGCTTTATTTCATGCACTCAGAAGACCCGGGTTGTCTGTCCATTAAAGGGCCACACAAATAAACAGCCATTCATTATGATGGACAGCCTCACTGTACATAACTTTCATTGTCCTTTGAAACAGACTTCGATGAGACTTAACAACTAAAAAACATCTCTTCATATCTTAATGTTTATTTATATTGTGAAAATTTGATTTTTTTTCTAAATATAAAAAAATGTAAATGTACTTAATACTAAAAAAACAAACAAACAAAAAAAAAACAACCAGTAATCTTGCATACAAAGCCTAAAGATGTTGTTGTACATCCAGTTTGAATGTTCATATCTGTTGACTTATCAAAGCGTAAAATCAGGAAGTACTGACTGAGTAAATTAAATGTCACTTCAGCATTGGTTTACATTTTAGGAAGTGGAACGTTTAAAAACAAACAAAAAAATGTAACCGAATTATGTGATAGTTCACGTACAACATTGCTTAACTGACAGTGAAGTATTCAAGTGACCAAAATGTACTGCAGTATGTGTGTATGCGTCCTATGTAGTTGTCAACCATTCAATGAATTGATACCAATACACCGACCTGTACTGGTATTTTTTATTGGTACTTTCTCCTTTATTATTAATATCCACTGCTCACACACAGTAAGGACTACAGAACTTTTAGCATTATGCTAGCACTTACTGTAATGTTATTTTGTGTGTTTATCAAGGCCGTAAGAACAAAGTCTAAGATTCTGCAGAACATACTGTACAACAGTCTCCTGACCGCTAACTGTGTGTGTGTGTGTGTTTGTGTGTCCAAAAACAGTTCCAGAAAGCAACACAGTCACTGCAGAGACCACATGGACCTGTGGCTGGTCAGACAGCTCATTCCACCAATCAGACGACACTTGGACAGCCTTTCCTCAGGAGGCGTCAAATAACAGTGGAGGCTTCGTGGGACAGTGGTGGCCGACCTGTGCTGTGGAAGAAAGACGGAACGCGCCTTTGACCAATCAGAAACTGGTACACATTCAATGGTTCTGTGCTTGGACTGTGGTGTCCTTTTTTCTCATAACTGAAAGAATGAAGTGGCAACAGGTGATGTCACATGGTCATGTGACATGTTAAATTTAGATGCGCTCCTGTGATGTCATCTTGGGTTTAGTTTGGGGGTTTCCAGGAAGGAAATCTGAGTGTAAGAAATTGAAAATATTTGGGGGTTTCCAGGAAAGAAATCTGAGTGTAAGAAATTGAAAATAGTAATCAGAGCTTCAGAAAAAAAAATGTGGTCATTTTTGCCATGATGACTGCAGTGGTTACTACTGCAACAGCTCAGAAATCATTTACATCTACATTATTACAACTTTAGTTTTTTTATTGATTATATATAAAATAAATACAGAGTCACTTTTAAAGTTTCTGCAACTTTTGTTGAAAGAGTTATCTTACTGTGCACCTGGTAACAGATCGCCCACATGTTCTATTTAATCCACGTGTGGGTGAAAAAGTACCTTCATATTTTTTAAATATACTTCTTGTTTTTTTTTTTCTCTCTGTCTTTGTTTCCTGCAGACCTGTGTCTTGGCTGAGGCCTTCCCTTCATTGACAGACTCTTGTAGCACCAACACCGTCCCCACTCTGACCCAGCTTCTGAGGGGTGGAGCCAACCAGGACCAGGGGTAGGTGACTGGTCCGAGTATGGAGTCTCTGCATGTGCTTTTAGACAACTAGAAAGAATCCTCCATTAAATGGAATAGAATAATCAAATGAATATAAACTTTTAGTGGAGAAAGTCAGAAGGAGTTGTATCGTGTCTATGTTGATTTTGAAAAGATAAAAAATAGGTTGTCAAAAGAGGAAGTGTGGTAATGAATGAGAAAGTCAGGAGTGGTAAAAAAGAACATTATTGTGGTGCAGAACAAGCACACAAAGAGAGTGGTGAGGTGTGCATTTGGAATGACAGATGTGGTCGAGGGGAGGCTGGGGCGGGTAAACGTGAGGAAGTCTGTCTCTGTAAACAGGTCATGGATGACTGTGGTCATGTCTAATTTGACATTGTGCTGCTAAACATAATTATAAACATCATTAGTTCCATTAACAACAAATAGAGTTATGTGATCACGTTAAGTGAAGTAGTTATACATGATTGTTAACTCTTTATGCTTTAATGCATTTTGTTGCATATGAACTTATTGACATTTCTACGAACACATCAGATTGGATGCAAATGTCAACTGTACAGAATATGGACGCCATGATCCAGTTTCACATAAATATGTGTATCGAAATGGTACAATACGATACAATGTGATATGATTTGATAAGCTGCGTCCTAGAAACTTGTTCTGGGTTTACTAACGAAATGAAAACAATGACCAATTTTGCAATAAAAAAACCCACTTTATAAAACATTTGTTTAGAGTTGCGTCCAACCCTACGGCGACCCTTCAGCCCACTTCAGTGGTGAAACCACGTGCAGTTGTTAGAAAGTAAACATCACCAAACAAACACACTGAGAGTGCAGTCACCTTTCCTCTGTTGTTCACCTTTGACCTCACAGGCTGTTGGACAGATTTCATGACCTGAACAAAATGATTGACCAGAGGTATAAGAGAGCCAGTGGCGTGTCCCGTGAGCTGCTCCTGACGACTCTACAGCTGGAGCAGCCTCACTCTGTGAGTAAGGTCTGACTTTATTAAAGGAAATCAGAAAACATGAGACGTGTAGTTTCACAGTTAATTTGTGTCTTTAAGGGTTTTATGTTCACATTTTATTTGTGACACTTCAGGGTTTGTTTACTGAGTTTGTAGATTGAACTGTGTCAAACCTATGGCAGTGTTGAAATAATGACTGAGAGAAGTTAGTTTTTCTTGATGACATCGTTGTCATTGTTATCGGCTTGAGATGAATTTGACACAGAAACTCAGTTTAACTTCATTTAAAACTACAAGAGAAACAAATACTGCTAGTAGACATCGGTGTATAACAGATATTTACAGTAAATATATTTTGTGCAATTTAGAAAAAAAACTTCTGTAAAATATACAATATACTGTAGTTACAATATATTATGAGCAACTGTTTATATCAGAGGTGTCAAACATATGGCCCGTGGACCAAAATTGTCTCTCTTGGGTATTTAATCTGGCCCGCTTGATGAATTAAAAAAAAAAACAAAGGAACAATCATGTTCAATATTTTTTACATATAAATAAATGTATGCGGCCTGTGAACCAAAATTAGTTTATATAAATAAGTGGGGTTTAAATATTATATTAGTAATATAAGAAGACGAAAACAAATATATTTGAAAGTACTAGAAAGATGATTAATTTTCTTTTAAATTTTCCTGTCCTTTCCAGGAGAGTAGGCCTCGTCCCTGGACAACTAACCACCGTCTCTCCCCCGGCCCACCCTCTGCCAATCGTCACACGCAGCACGCTGCTGCCAAACGGCGACTGTCGTGTGACTACAACAAAAGCAACGTTGGAGTAACTCTGTGATTGACTTGATGAACTGTAAGTCTGAGGTGGGACTGTTTGGACCAGATCCAAGGGTTTCTCTGGATTCTGTTTTATCTTCTGTTCACACTCGGCCATAGAGACGTCACAGTGAGTGGAGAAACACCGACACCTCGGTTCTCGAGCACTCATGGAGTGATCTCATCATACACGTGCCACATGTTCATCTCCAATGGCCTGTTGTGATATGTATTATCAATAACCAGAGCAGCAGGCTGATGACCTGTTGGCAGATCAGTCGGTGGAGTGGAAGTTGTCCTCGTCTTTCCGTCATGCTTCATTTTGTTTAAAAATTGTATTTTTAAAAAAAATATTGTGAACAAGAAGAATGTAAATGAAGTTGTTAGATTGACATTCGCAGATCTGGGCAGATTTCCATTGATCCATCAAAAAGCAGGGTGGTTTGTGAATCTTAGTCACGCTACAGGGTTAATCAGCAAAGTCGTTAGAGAAGAGGCTGATGGAGCTGTCATGTATTAAAACACTAGTAGAACTAGTAGAATTAGCGCTAACACGCTAGCTCTGTTAATATTGAAAAATAAACAAGAAACACAGAACCAGCTGCTCTGGGAGCTTATCGTTGACAATGATATTCTCCAGTTACCATTTTCAGACATTTTCCTGATAAATTGAAGTCAAACGTGTCAGGATGATCCAAACTGTTCATGGTGAGTCAACCGTGCAGCTGCTGAAAAAAGTCACTTGGTTATTTATGACCAGATGTATTCAAGAATTTGAATTGCTAGCACATTTGCTAACTGGTTTATTTGTACTTTACCTTTTTTTTTGCAGGTAACAGCATTAGTGAAGAATAGCTTGAGGCCTCCAATGGGAGGATGTGTAATTTTAGAGCTGCTCTGAGGTCTGTTTACACACTTAGATTACCAGTTATTTGCTGTATCAATATTGCACCACCATCGCCCCTGGACTTTTTAAATCTTTAACATAAAAAGTGGCTGCGGATGAACTTCACATGATGTTATATAAACCCATCTGTTTAGCTACAGAGAGAGAGAGAGAGAGAGAGAGAGAGAGAGAGGAGGTGACACGAAGTTCCATGTTTTCGTTGTCCTCATTCACAGCGTTGGTTATCCTGTCACACATTCCTGTCTTGGGGATTAGAAAATGTCAGATCAGCCAACTACAATTGTTAATAATAAACATATGGATGATCGTGTTGGGGAAGAAAGTTTGGCCGCGATGACGTGTTCCCATTTTGTCATAGTGATGCATGTGCTTTCACACTGTAATACAGAAAGAAAACAAACAAACACGGACAAAAGCCAATGACTGACATCCATCATTGAGATATATCTGCTGTGGTTCTCTAGAGGAACCGAGCTCGTCTTCCAGTTCAGTGCCAACAAAAACATCAGTGCCAATATTTCCAGAGAAAGGACAGGAGAAAACTCTGGTACTTGTTGTTTATTTTATGTCGTCTCGCTGACGTCCTGTGGACTGACTGTCCCGTCATGTGACGCAGCTCTGTTTTGCAGCCCAGTTCACCTCTCGGCCTAAACACAGATACAGCTGCAAATCAGTTCTTCAGATGTCACTGCTCCTTTCTCCTCGTACAAAAATGATTTATTTAGCATTTGGTCGTTTGTTTCACTCGTCAACTACCGGTGAAATCCAGAAACCAATCTTTCGTTCAAGTGTGTCCAGGTGTGTTAGTCTGTAATTTGTAGATGATAGACATTTCCGGGAAAAAAAAGATAAAGATGAATATTTTCTGATCGGTTTAAATGAGTAAAAGAGGAGTATGCCTTGGTAACTGATGTAATAAAATTCTACCACATAACGACTGTCGACTGGTTTGAAGACCATTAGATGTTTAAAATATGAACGTGCAAACTTAACATCAAGGATGAACAAAGGTTCTACCTATTATGTATCTGTTCCTTTAAATAACAGGGAAGAAATGTCATGTCTTTGTTATTACAACCACAGAAAACTGTTTGGATATGCCACCACAGCATGCTGAAAGTTCAACATAATGGCCTTTCTTTTCTTAGTCATGAGACTAAGGTTGGATGGGTGCATGGATGGATGGATGGATGGATAGATAGATAGAAAGTTTAACTTTTCAAATCCCTTGGGAGTTCCCTTCAGGAAATTAACTTTGTTTAAATTTTATTTAAAACGGTATTTAAACAGTGAATAAAGTGCTACTACAGTAACTCAATATTTAGTGAAGCATCAAATACACGTGTGTAAATTGCATGTGTACAGCACATGCAGAACCACAGTTCATTCCAGTCAAAACTCACGAGTTTGTGTGAAATTCTTCACAGCGCTGACGGCTGGACGTGATATTTTGTAGAATTCTCCCCGACTTGTTCTGGTCCTTAGAGGAGACTTGGAGAAACTCGTGGACGGACGGCAGTGCAACAGAGCAGGTGATGTTGGTACACAGCAACTAAAGGTGCATTCCTAAATTCATTTGAAGGTTTTAAAATCAGTCATTTTGCCATAGATTGGTATTTTTCAACCTTGAGGTCGTGTCCCGACGTGGGGTTAAATTACACTCAATTAAAAATGCATATGAACTTGTACTTGTACACATGTAGAGCCTGTTTACTCTGCTCACTAAAACTGTCTGTGGGCGGAGCCTGCTTTTTAGAACTGGAAAGTTTCTAAGATGTGGTTCTTGAACTTTTTTTTAAAGTATGACCTCCAAATATTTGGTAAGGTACCACCTGTAGGTCGAACATTAAAATACAACAGCACTCTGCTCTACACAGTACATGGAGAAAATCTCTAAGACTTTTAATATCCTTATTTATTTGATTATTTCACAACAAATTGAACAATTTTTTTATAGTTTCGCAGCAACTTTTTTAAAATTATGTATGTTTATGTTGTCTGTGCTGCAACAGATGTTGAACTTCAGACTTCGTTAGGCCTGACTTCCTCTCCTCACCTCTTCTCTCCATCTGTAAATGCCACTGTGGGAGGAAGAGGGTGAGGCGACAAGGAGGTGTTTAAAGTTAAATGAGCACGGCCCACACCCACACCCACCGAACCACCACTCCCACTCGGTGAAGAAGCAGTGTGGCGGTAGACTCAGCCACAGGGAGTCCGTGGTCGGCTGCTCCCTTCATGGTTGTCTGCGAGTGACAGGGAGATATGAATTCTGTGGGCCGGTCGTGGCTGCTCCTCACGGGCTTTGTCGTCTTCTATGTCATCTACCTGTTGTTCGGAGCGCTGGTTTTCTCCAGCACCGAGCGGCCGATGGAGGACAGGCTGCGACGAGACATGGAGGTCCTGAGGCAGGAGTTCCTCAACCACAGCTGCATCAGCGCCGCGTCCTTAGAACACTTTCTGGCCAAGGTGCTGGCGGCCAACAAGTTTGGCGTGTCGGTGTTCAGTAACTCCTCAGAACCGTCCAACTGGGACCTGGCATCGTCCATGTTCTTTGCCAACACTCTGGTCACCACAGTGGGTGAGTTCGGGGCAAACAAAGGGAAGTTTGGAGAGGAAGCAAACAGTCTGTTTTACACGAATTTTAAAGCAAAACGTATCACAGCAACGACGTATCACGTTAGAAAAGCGGCATTTATGAGTTGTGGTGCAACATAAAGAATATATTTTTTAATTTAATAAGAGTCATTTCTTGTCTTTTTCGCCACGTGTCATGGATGTTAGGAGCAGTTACAGCTGTGTCCTAGAAGGTCAGCTTCAGTTCAGTTCACTTAAATAACGTTAAAATAACTTTAACAAACACTTTTTTAGAGGTACTAAAGCACAAGGTGGTTGAAAAGGGAAGTGTGAGGACGTGAGATGTAAATGTCTGGGTTTATTGACAGTAAGCAGGATGTTGTAGAGTCTGCTTTACTTGTCTGTGGTTTGAACTGATGTTTCACGTTAAAAACCTGAGGAAGTTGATGGTGTCGACTGTAACAGTCAGTGACGATAATAAGGACTGGTCCTGTCTGATGTTTCCTGGTTATTTACCAAGTAAATAACTAATCCACGTAATTTAAACCCGCCGTTAGTGTCCTACCTGTAAATCAGATCTGCCAAAGGTGGCTCGCGGGTCAGTTCTGGTCCGATACAACAATAACATCAGGTCCCCCAGATTATTTTTACAATGAAGTTGTAGTATTACCTTCTACTGTTGTAATTATTTTTTGTACATTATTAAGCCCATGTTGGTCCTCCGTATATGTTAAATTATTGCTAAAATGTTCAAAATAATAAATATTCTACTATTCCTTTTAAAAAATCTGCTTATTTACCTTTTTTAAGGTTTATTGCCTCACACTTTAATAAACATACTGTGCGTTATTGATGGATTGCATTTTTAGAAATATCCTCAAATGATGATTAAATTATACTGATTACAATTATAAATAAATGTAGGCTAATAAATACAGTAACTGCCTTAGTACTAACTAAATGTGAGAGTGCCATTTCCAGTCAGTTCCTTTAGTGTACCTTTTTTGCATCCCTTGATGCAAAGATTGACTCAGACATTTAATGCACATGGGAAAATATCTCACAGTTGATTTAATTAATTTCTCAGCATCTGTCAAACAACGCAATCGTGTGTTTACAGGACAGCTGTTGCAAAGTTTACCGTACTTTTTATTTGTTCTGTTATGTTTATATGTTCTGAAATTTGTTTCTGTTTCTGGTCTGACATTTAATGACTTTGCAAATACGGAGCCAAGGCCCAACGTGGGTGGTCTGGTGTGACTTAATGTCTGTTACTTTCAAACTGCCGTTAAATGGCTAATCGCAGCTGACATTAGGTTTCGTCTCAATACTTTCTTTAGAAACCAAGAAGAAGCTGAAGACAAATATAATCAGCCATCTTACCAACTTCTACAGCCATCTTTAGAAAATGCCCCTTGAACAGGATACAGCTGCAGGAACTGAACACACCCTGTTCCCCTCCAGCTGCTAATGTGTGTGTGCGCGAGAGAGGGGGTGAGGGCGCGCAATAAAGAGCGACTTATCTTTTCCTGTGGTTGCTTTTTTTCCTTTCAGGTTTTTATTCACTCTTGCAGATAATTTGTGAACTTTTTAGTTACTATTTATATTATTCCATACTGTATGTAGTTTCTTTCTTCCGTTTTTATTACGTATGAAGTAAATGTACTACTGGTTTCATCGTTTTACTTTGGTCTTACTGCTGTTGTTCTTGCTGCTGTGTGAATGTTTTTTTGTTTGTTTTTTTTGCCATGTGTTTTCTGGTCTTACAGGCGAAGAAACAAAGTGAGAATTCTGGAACCATATCTACCTGATCACCTCTAAGACAAAATTACATTCTCTATGAACATGGGAGATAAAATTATAAGTTGGTGCACTTCCTGAGTGTGGGACAATTAGAGATAATATTGCGATTTAAATGAATTTACCTTGTTGTGTCACACCTGCTTAAGCTCTGTGCCACTTTGGGGCCATGCCCCCCATCTTTGGAACCATTGCTGCAGGTGTTTGTAGAAATTGTATCTTGGTTTTAAAATGATCTAAACAATGTATCTAAACCTGATCTGTGTATGTTAGCACTTTATATTGAGCCATAATGTACAACTGCAATAGTTCAGTTAAAAGGCTAACGATAAGAGGCGTCATCAGACGATGGTGTGATTAAAGGAGACTTTGTTTGTGTCATTATATTAGCATTGAAGTTGGTTATTGCAGCAGCAGAACACTAGAGTTCTTTTTACAAAACTGTTCACCTGGCCTACTTATTCAGTCTGGGTTCATGATTAAAATAGGACATGTTTTTGCTGACAGTGTCCTACATTTGTTGTTCTGTGTCCACACAGAAACTTCTTGTAACTCAGGCAGCATTTTTTTTTATTTTTAAGCATCAAGTGTCAAACAGGAGTCGAGTCCTGTGTCTTTCCTGTGTTTCTTTTGTAAAAGCTTCTGTGGACATAATCTCCAGACATAATAGTTAGCAGCAGAAAATCTGTAGATAATTCTGTTGGCTTTGGGATACGCCCAGAATTGTTGCATGTCTGACAGCAGCAGAGAACTCGTATGCGCAGTAACTTCATGTTACATGTGTGACACCGCAGCAATTTATAATGTAGCTTGTCTAAATGATTGTCAGTGCCTACAATAACATTGTCTGTCGTATGTATGATAGTCATGTGCACACGCAGTTTTTACAGATGTGCTGTGAGCAAACTTCAGCCATACTATCACAGTCCCTCTGTTGTACCACATTGACCCCCAGAGGTCACAGAACCCTGTTCTAGCTCCTTGATCTAGAGCTTTCATCGTGTGTCTAAATCTTCTAATTACAATGAATAGGGTACAGTGTCCTCAAAAATAAGCTCGGAAAATTGAATTCTTACGCTAGTGACAGATGTGACTGGTGTTGTTTGTGTCACTTGATGTCTGGTGTCACAGATTGCCACACAGTTGAAGAGCACGAGCTCCGCGTCCGGTGTCACAGATTGCTACACTGGCCACACAGTTGAAGAGCACGAGCTCCGTCTCTGCAGGGTGTGCTGTTATCTATGTAAATGACAATCAGATGGGCCGTCACACTCATTTGACTGAGGAAATCAAATGCATGCATGAAGCTCTGAACCCCAAGAAGTTTTGTTTTTTTCCTATGACATTTTTAGACAACACAGAGACTTTTTATAGACTTTTTATATAGCAGTTACATTTATATATTTGATAACTGATGTGATCGGCAGTGAGAATGAGTTTCAGGAGGGGACTTTTAATCACAGCACATAACCAGATTACCTTTATATCGGAGGTTCCCAAGCCGCGGACCGTGGACCAGTGCCGGTCGATAAGTCATTTAGATTTAGATCCTTACATTATACGTACACTTTAAATGTCAGTAAAGTGCTGACTAACGGTTGCATAAAGAATAATGATGTTTCTGTCCTTTTCTTCTGCTGGATGTCATTTAATTATTTTTCTTAATTATTCCAGAAATTCATGTTCTTCTCACTCTTCCTCTTCTCATTTTTCCAGGCTATGGCCACACCACTCCTCTGTCCGACTCTGGCAAGGTCTTCTCCATCATCTACGCCCTGTTAGGAGTTCCCTTCACCATGCTGGTGCTCACTGCCTGCGTCCAGAGGCTCATGTATCCCCTGGTCATCGCTCCAGTCGGCCTCCTGCAACGCACAGGGATGAAGCTCCAGTCAGCCACTGTTGTCCACTTCGTGTTGCTGCTGATCCTGGTGGTGCTGTGCTTCTTCATGGCTCCAGCAGCGGTGTTCACTGTGTTGGAGGTGTCCTGGTCATTCTTAGATGGCGTCTACTTCTGTTTCATCTCCCTCTGCACCATCGGACTTGGTGACTTTGTTCCAGGCATACAGCCTGGACAGAAGTACAGGCAGCTGTACCAGCTCTCAGTCATGGGTAAGTGCAGTCTGTCGTCCTGTCCTTTATTGATTAGAGGTTAAAATAATGTTTTCAAAAAACCTGTACAGCTACACTTACTTGATACCAAATTTACCCTGAAACATATGCGTTATATATACAGTATACAGTAAAAGTAGGAGTAAGACTTGAGATGTTCACCATTTTGTTTTGTTTTGTAATTAAAAAAAAAAATTAAGTTGAATAAATGTTAAAAAAAAAACCCTACCATGAAAATGATCTACTCTCTTCCACTTCTCACGCACTGACATTGACATCAATAAACTGATTTGATTGGTTGATTTGCGTCACATGTGAAGACATTAACAGGTTTAGGTCCAGATAAGACAACATTTGGGTCTACATACAGACCACTCCCCCCATTTTTAATTATTTTTTTAACTTGATGTTGTTAAAAACTCATAATAGTAAATGAGAATAACAAATGTAGAACAAACATTACTGAAGGCGAAGACCACTATGTATACATCATACAGGTAAATGTTTCGTGCCGGAGGACAAGATTAGAACAGGTTTAAAGTTTACCATTGACGCGTACTGTGAAGCCTTGGGTTTTAAGGCTGGGTGTTGTCTTTACACAGTGAACTACAGAAAACATCTGTCATTATCACTGATCCCACACCAGAAAAGCCGAATCAGGTTTAAATCAAACCTGGTTGAGTCCAGTTCAAACTACAGTCTTGGTTCTCCAGCAGTTACGCACCCTCGATAATTTACCATCTCTTTAAGGGGTTGGTCCCTGGCAGGCAGGATGTTTGACAAGAAGGTGTAGTCTCCTCATGTTCCACCACACACTGACATTTATACCAGTGTTTAATTAGCAACAAATTAGCTACGAATGTAAACTTGACGTTTGTACAGTCTGACAGACTGGGCCACACGCTGTCTTGTCATCTGGATGTCGTTCTTAGTCTGACTGACAGGTTAACATCCAGCCTTGTTTGTTATGTACAACATTAAGAACATCTGTCCATCCGTCTTCAGTGGTATGCTGCGTTCACTGACACAAACAAACACTTCATTTACGCCTGATGCTCTAGATCAGGCATGGGCAACCTAAGGCCCGGGGGCCGAATGTGGCCCGTTCAGCTTTTTGGCAAAATTATATAATTTATTTATATTATCGTTATACTTCTACCTTTTCCCTGCAATACCCACGTTTCCCCAATAGATGGTTGAAAAAATGATGAAAGCATTTTAGCCTTTATGCAAGTCTTTAACATGTCATTTTTCTTAGTTCTCACAAGCTCACCATCTGTCTGTGCTATTTACATTACGTGTGTGTGTGTGTAGACTTGCCGCTCAATTGCGTTTGGTGTGAACACGCTGTAAGTTGTGCATCGTTTTCAAATGCACTTTAACAAGAAAATTGTTCATCAGAAAATACATTGTTATTTCTATACTCAGCCTGTGGGCTGTTGGGGTTTTTTAATGGTTGAAGAGAACACGAGCCTGTTGTTGTTAACAGGACGGCAATAATCAGGATTTATTGATGGTGACTTTTTGACTTTTTTATTGTCCATTACAGTTTGGGTCTCTGGTTGGTCTGTGTAGAGATGTGAGGACATTTCCGTCACATGATCTAAGTTGTTGTCTGTGTCTGTGAGGATTTTTCTCTCTAATTTAATCAGTGTCTGAAATGATGTTTCTGTCTTTAAATAGCTCTTTTTTTCTCCACCATATTTTCCCAGAGATGAAGTTATTTAGGTCCGTGTTAGAAATCTCACTCAAACAGGTTGTCCTTTTTTATTAATTAACTTTTTATTTATTCTTTACTTTACTACTTGCTTTAATTTTTGTATTTAACAAAAAAAGGCCTTTTAATTATAATTTAAAATGTGTAGAAGGTTTTTCGAAATGTTTCCCAAAACTTTAAAAGTACAGTAGTCCGAGCAACACGTAGCAGCCGTGTCTTTCCTGCAGACTGTGTTATGTAACAGTGATGTAGGCAGAGTCAGATTAGCTGCTGCTGCTGCTGCTGCTGCTGCTGCTGCTGCTGCTGCTGCTGCTGCTGCCGCTGCCGCCGCGAGGAGGATTAGTGAACTAACTGCTGCTGTTTTTTTGTCGTTGTTGTACTGTTTATGTGACGTCTCAGGATGTTGTTGTTACCTCAGCTAAAGTTCATTGGGAAAACACAACAAATTCTTAAAGGTAAATAAATAAATCTGCAGTTTGTTAATGCATCTAAACCTTGGACTATCACTCTCAAAATAAAGGAAATACTTTTCATGTGTGACAAATACACTTTTTTGTCCTCTTGCTGTATAAAAGATGTCAAATTTCCTTATCAGTGATGGACCAGATATTTTCTGTCAAAGACAGAGGTCAAGCATGATACGGTCATCCTAAAAATAAATCACTTGAGTGAAAAAGTGTCTTTGAAAATCAAGTATCCACAATCACAGATGTTGTTCTTTCTTTCTTTTTGAGTGTTGTTTTGTTTTTTTGCTACCTATGTTCTTTCTTTCTTTTTAATTTTTACATGAGTGTTGTTTTGTTTTTTTGCTACCTAAGGACAGGCTAACTCTTACAGTTAAAACCCTAATAAAAGCAGTGCATCTCACTGCCAAATATTTATGTATAGAGCAATATTTTTCTGTTAGTAGAAAGTTTTTGTTTTGTTTGATTTTACCAATACTTATAGCCTATACTTATATAGCCTTTATCTTGTAGGCAGCTCAAAGACTCAAGCTGTTCCTCCTAACTTCATGAACGGCTGATGAGAATCAGTGATTGTTTTCACCACAGCCCCTCCATACCAAAGATACGCCTCATTTTGATTGTGAACATTTTAAACGGTGTCTGTGTGGCACCAGCCGAGTTAGTGTTGACCATGTCAGGGATCGCGTGGTGCTGTCATGTGTTTGTTTTCAGTCGTTATCTGGACATCCAGAGAACAAAAATGTGATTTGAAGTTGAAAGATGTTTAAATATATCTGCCGTTAGGTCAGTGTTTTTTATTTTTATTTATAAAATGTCCAATATAATAACTTGCCGATATTGTCCAAACACATCATTTCTGATTCCGATATCGATACACATATATGCAGCTGTTTTTTCCCAAAACTACAGTTAGCGCCTCGAGATAATTTTAATTGCTTAGAAAAATTACATTACACAGTACGTGATTATAACCTACGATTTATCAACCACTTGGCTCCGTGACCTTTTGTGACCCTTGTCCTGTTGTCACTTTCTTTTAGTCTACCTGTTTGTGGGTCTCATGATGATGTACCTCCTGCTGCGCACCTTCCACAAAATGGCCGATCTACACGGACTGACCACCTACCTGCAGCTGCCACGCTGTGAGGAGTTCGACCAGGAGGAGGACAGGGAGCCTATCGTGCACAGCAGGAGTGAGGCGGAGTCGCTCTCCTGCACATCAGAAGACCAAGTCGGTAAGTCGCTGAATCCAGGGTCCCAGATTTCCTACAACACTATAAACAAAGGCTGAGCCTTGGAGAGAGGAGAATCAAGAGTTCTACCTCTGCTGACCCCCAGACCATGAACTAGTGATGTCTTATTGAATCTGAATGCCTATTATGGTTACCCTTAACTTCGTCTTCTTAAGCATTGCTATGTAAACAGAAGAAGAGCAGTGGAAAAAACAACGCTATGCAAACAGAAGAACAGAAGAAGAGCAGTGGAAAAAACAAAAGGTGAAGAATTTGAGATTCAGGGGAGTTTTGTTTGTTTTCTTTTTTTGTTTTGTTTTTTGAGAGGACCATTCATTATGTTACATTACTTCCTGCACAGCCTTATTTGTCAAAAACGGCACCAGCAAGGACCAAACAATCGTATGTTTTCACTGGTGTTCACATAAATGTTCGGTGCAACATTTCTTTCTGAGCACTTTTTGGTTGTTTTCCACTTTTGTTATTTCTTCCAGTGTTGAAATGTTTTGGGGTGCTTAAAAAAATTAATGCAATAGAGATTAAACGTGGTGATGACCTCTTGTGGACGGTGATGGTGAAGTCATTTTATATTTATGTAACTGTGTTTGTTTTCCTATATGGCTGGTTCAATGTACAGTTTTTGTGTTAGATTTGTACATAATTGTCAGAATATCTGCAGACTCAAAGCTGAGCATCATCATGATGGAGCACGACTCTGCAACTATTTATTCACTTGAAAAAGCGTTAGTTTGACCAATGCTGCACATTTCAAGCTGTCGGGACTTTGACTACGTCATGCTTCTTATTTATCGTAATTCAACGTTGAAGTGTTAAAACTGCTGTCTGGACCTGGCTTGAGCTGTTTTCCTTCTTAATGCTGCCCCCTGGTGTCTACATATCTACAGTGCACCCATAGAAAAGGCATCGATAATACAAGCGGGTTTAAGGTTTTTTTAGAAAGTAAATGTTCAATTTCACACACAATATGTTATTATTTCTAATCTATCAGAAGATAATAAACACTGGAAGAACTCTTAAATGTTCGCACCAGTTAAAGTCATGGATACCAGTGTGGATGTGTTCTACTGTAACACATGTTCTCTCAGTTCATGTGGGTGTGTGTGCTGGTTATTAAACATTGTCATGTAATAATAATGAAATATGTCAATTAAATTATTAAAAAAAACTTTGTCTGTAGTCATTATTCTTTTTGAATGTGTCTACAGGCGGAGATCGAGCTTGTGTCCTCAATTGTTCAACTGCGTTATTATCGTTTTATCAATTTATTACAGCCTAAAACTCTATAAAATAAGAACGCAAATTCGACTAATTATAACCCATATGTACTAGGGAGAGGGAGCCGTAAATTGTCTCCCAGATCGATTATTTTAGTTCGATATGTTGGGTCTGGTTCTCACGGTGACGTGTGGTGTTTGGGTCACGTGGGTGCTGTATACGGAAGTGTTGCATTTATAGGAGCTGGAAATCTATGTATTCACTTGGGAGAACGGCGAGGTTATGATAGCCATATTTTTGTTGACCGCTTTTTGGGGACACTTTACAGGACAAACCTCTCAAGGGACTTGACAGGAAAGTTCCATCTTTTTGTCAACAAAAGGTTAGCACTTAAAAGCGCAAAGGATCTGCGAGACGCAGAGCAAGTGCAGCGGCGGCGGCAAACAAAGTAAGACAGCGATACAGCTGTCATGGAGGACAGGTAAGCTAACCTGTGCATGTATGTGTTTAAAAAAAGGAATCCTGGTCAAAAATGCGATGTCTGCTCTCCGGTGATGAATAACGAGCTTTATATGTAATTAACGAGGAACGCTGATGCAGCGCGTTCTCAATACATTGTTCAGATTTGGATTTTGTCAGTATGGTTATAACTGAAAACTGAAAAAAGGGGGTTAAAATGGGTCAAACACCACGTGCTCTGACATGGATTATTCATGGACATTAATTTGCTGTGGTTTTGTATGTTTAGGTTTAACTAAATTAGGTTGTGTGTGTAAGAGCCGTACACTGTATCACAAATCGATATTGTAGTTCTGATTTGTTTGGTCTGGTTGCCAAGGTGAGTAGACAATTGGTCACGTTAACATGTATCTAACGTTGTATACAATATTATACTTGGTAAATAATCTAAATTTATGATTTTAAATCTTACAAAGGAAATATTCTTAATTTTCCGAAGGGAATAATAAAGGTCTATCTGTTCACACGTCTTTACTGTGGTAAAATTCCCTCCCCAAAAAGAGGCCCGCCATCGTTTTTATCTCGGACACCCCCTAGTGGCAGCTCCACAGTTATGAATCCCTTACCTATAGTATTTAGTAATATAAACAAATAGTGTTCTACTTAAGTAACTATAGTTTTCAATTATTTTCAAGTAATAACAACATTTACATGCGTAATTTCGTTCATTTCTTTTATTTAAAAAAAGTTTAAAGTCTACATACATACATTGAGCTTGGCACCTCAATTTAAAAATAACCAGTTACACATGGGGAAAAGGAAATATAAAATACAGGTAATTCATCAACATTATTGACCTTATATGACAGCATTTTAAATTAAATTTAAAGAAAATATACATGCCCATTATGAGTGATTGGAGACTCAGTTCCTGCTGCTAATTAAGCATCCAAGCTTTCAAAAAGCAACTCAGATTCATAACAACAGGATTTTAAATCTACAACAGTCCGTGCATGATGTGCTGTAGCAGTGTTGGTTTAAAAGAATTGGAGGCATATATATACACATCAGTTAACAAAAACATTTCTTTATAACAATATGCACCAAAAGAACATTTAATATGATTCCATTTCATGGCTCTAGAAGGAACAATGATTTGACTTTAAAATAAATACACAAACCACATATTTGGGTGACTTAACAATTAAAATGCATATTATTAATAACCAAAAGTGCAAAAATTCAGATGTAAACAAAACAAAGATGAACACCCAGAGGGGCAGATTCAGACATGTGTTAAAACAGCTGCTTCGTAGTGGTGGTGACTCCGAATACTGTAGTACGCTTACAGTGGAGCGGAGGTTATGTTGTGTACAGTCAAACACATGAAGATATGTTGGATTATAACCACTCTACTGAAAATAATCTATTAAAAACTCACTAGAAACTCAGGGCTGTGTGTTGTGTTTAAGCACCAACGTTTCCACTCAGACCAACTTTATGCTCACGTTCAGGCTGCAGTGACTCTGATGGGGGGGTGTTTTTTAACCCCACTGTGTGTATACAGTATTTCCATTTACAAATCTGATTTTCGAAACACTTTAAAAAAAACAAAGACACAAATGTGAACACGTATGTAAATTCTATCATGTGGCAGCGGGTCACTCGAAGTTGTGCTTTTCTAATATTCCAGATTCAATTTTTACTGAATACTGGAGTAAGTAAAGAAATGTAGTCTTACCATATTTTGAAATATGAAATATAACAACCTTCAGAAAAAAATAAATGGCTTGTTTGCTAGCCCATAGAAAAGCAGTGACACTTGTGAAATACTTCCCCTGAACGCACATTCTCACTCATCTTCCTACGCCTTTAAAACTGACCCAAAACCAGATCTTTCTTAAAAACCCAGGATAAATAAGGTTAAAGAATTTCTTCACAGAAGATTTAACCTTAACAATTAGTGTTTCCACAACCATCGTTCTTTCAATGCCCACCAAAAACACATTCTCTTCAAACAAATATCAGCATTATTCAAATGCACTGTAAGGGATTTGTTCCATGTCTCGTTTCGAGTTCAATAAACTGCGTAAAACGTCAGTCTGTGACCAGGATTCTGCTTTGCCTTCAGTGCAGAAAATTAAACGTTCAGTGTGAACACAAGATTGCCTCAATTTAGACAAAAAGACAAGGCAGGCGTAGAGGGTGTGCACTGCAGTGTAATTAATTCTATTTTGGTGAGTCATAGTGAGAATTGCAATAAAACTCCATTCAGCAGTTAAGTGACTCACAGCTTACCGTTTGCAAAGAGATAAAAAAAACAGGTCATATTCTGGTTTCATCCTGTTGATTTTCTTTTCTTTAACTTCATGACACCATGAGGAGGTGCCACTCCTTATCTATCCAGGTAGTGGAGCATTATTAACTTTTACAAAATTGCAAAACATTTTCCTACTTATATGCCGTTAACATTTTTGAAAAGGGAATAAATAATTACCATAGTAGTTCACAGTCCAGCCTTTTCCCTCAAACATTTTGTTCACTATGTTAGTGGCAGTACAACTCTGCTATCAGGACTCCACCAGGATCTCCATCAGATGCTCCAGGTCGAGTCCTTGATTCTGACCAGGAAAGAGAGAAGATGAGGGTGAAAAAATGGTAGGCAAAGAGGCAGGTGAAGATGACAGTGGGCCGAACGAAGAGAAGGACGGCAGGCACTTGAGGTTCTGGTTAGACAGATACTGCGAAGAGGAGGCGGAAGGAGAGATTGGCAACAGGTACCGAGGCAGATCGTCACCAGCTGGGTGTCCGACTCCACACCCCCTCAGCCCAAACAGTTTGTCTTTATCTAAGAGAGACGTGTCTATATCCTGAAACAGATCTTCTACAGTGAAGTCAGTCAGATAGGCAGACCTCGTCACCTCCATCTGGTTCTCTCTCACCCTGCACTCATCCCACTCCTCTAGGTTCCCCACAAAACCTCTGACCCCCTGTTTGACCCACGTTGCACTACCCTCAGAGGACCTCGACAGGTTTTCCAGAGACTGAAAGGGTGTTCGCTGCACTGCCTGTGGGCTTTCTTCAATGTTCGAGTCCAGGGCAGTAAGTATGGAGGAGATAGCAGCTGAAAGGGAGAAATCACCATCAGTGGACATGGACTCCCATTCCTCATCTTCATCTCCATTAGAGAGAGGAACAGTGGATGAATTCCATTGGCAGTTTGCCAGATTCCTACCTGCAGCATAATGTGATGAGTGGAGTGAAGAAACCCCAGAGCAGGTGGTAAGTGCTGAGCTGCTGTTGGTCACCACTTGTGCAGGGTGATGTTTGGCTGATGGGATTTTGTTGGATGGACTCTCCTGCTGTACCTCCTCGGGCCCAGATAAAGAACTGTCTGGAGGGACTTCATCTTCTGCAGGAGCGTTGCAAAACTCCAGGCTCATCTGCCGCAGCGTGTTTGCGATCAGCACAGACCGCCGCAGGCTGGGTTCCGGTAGCTCTTGACCACGCTGGTACTTATTAAGGGAGACTGAGAACACAAACTGTCGTTGGCTCTCCCAGATGGGATTGCTTCTGTCTGTAGCCTCCACTTCCTCAGGGGAGTATTTTCGCTTCTGCCCCTTTGTGATCATCTTATCACTGCAAAAGAAAGCACAAAATGTGACCTTCAACCAGATTTTCTATGGCCTGCAATTACTTTTACAAAACAATGCTGTCTATAGTTGTATGAAGAGATAAAGTTTTGGAAACAAATCAACACAACTACAGTTCAGAGAGCACTAAAAGATCTTTCAGGTCCAAACCTGGTACTGTTTATTTGTTTTCCATGTTTCATCTTTCCAGTTTTTATAACAAGCAAAGTTGTTATAAACAGATATATTAAAAAGATGAATCTCAATTAAAAGTTCAAACACTTGGATGATTATTTATTCATACACAATGATTTAAGCGTAACAAATAAATGTTTTAGTAAGTTCTGTGTATTTTAAGATAAAAGTAAGTTACTTCCATCAGTAGTGTTTGAACGATTCGGCGACTTTTTATAAAGTTCACATTTTTGTCGATGCTAAGTTTATACTCGACTAACAGCATGTAATTTTTATTGATTATTATAAATAAAAACGCCGTTATAGTGTAACACATTCATATTTTAAAAAAGCTTTTCTATTTAGTTTCTGGTTTCTTGATATGAACTGAAACTGACACGGTCCAAAACTAATAATTGTACGACATGGATTATGATAATCACAAGACAAATATGAATACAATCTCGCGATAACGGTACAGTCGAATTTTCTTACTCCGTTTTCTGTATGGTACTTATTAAAAAGAATTTAAAGCCCGTAATATTTCGATTTTTTTCCCTTGCCATTGTAGCTGAAAACTGCACTGAGTCAGAGGGTGGGGGTTGGAACTTTCGTC